TAAAATGCTGTCAAATTGCTCCACACTAATGTCCAAAATATTTCCATAAGCCAGTATGCCAGCATTGTTCACCAACACATCCAGCTGCCCGAATTTTTGTACTGTTTCATTTATTATGCGCTCAGCATCCACCGTTACATCAGCTGTGATAAGCAATAGTTCGGCTTTGCTGTTGGCTGTTTTGCAAGCCGCTTCAGTGGCCTTCAAATTGGCTTCATTTCGTCCGATGAGCGCTACTCTGGCTCCACTCTTGGCAAAGGCTTCTGCTATGGCAGCACCTATACCTGAACTTGCTCCAGTCACTATTACTACCTTGCCGACCAAACTCATTTCGATATATGTATTCTATTTGACGGCGAAGAATGAACTAAAGTAGTGCCGGCAATTGTATGAAGCTATAAATACATACATCTGGGAGATTGAAGAGTCGTTCTATTTTTCGTTATATTTTTTGCATATATGTGTATTCGCAATGCATATAAAACTGTTGCTGAACGATAAATAAGATTTAGAAGAGCAGCATATGAGTCTCTAATTTACACTCGTAATTTGTGAATTCCATACTACGGAGAAAAAGAAAATATTTATGTTGTACGCTATTCGTTAATATAAACAATCAAACTCAACGATATTCTACAAACTAATGTGCAACAATGTATTTAATAGCTAAGGAAGACGATCCGGGGAAGTTTTTTCATAGCAAAGATACACTCGGAGGTTAGCCATTTTCTGTCGAGAGACGCCCACTGATAGAAAAAACCTTTTCTTATTTAGATATTGCTCGGAACAGGGATCGAACCCAGATCCTACATATTGATAGTACGCACTTCTAGCCACTCAGCCAAAGCGGCCGTCATGTGAATTGTTTAGTTTCAACAAATCCCTTACTTTCACAGCAGCTTCGCACCCAAGAATAACAACAGCAAGAGGTCTATATCTGTCTCTATGCACGTTGATAGCCCAGTAAAAAGAAAAAAAGCCCTACGTTTTACGGATACGCATAATAGATGGCAGCACTTTTTGCAGAGAAGGGTATCCAGCTACTATGTAGAGTGTCTTTGACCACCCGTTTACCACTTCTAAAATGGAGAAACATGTTATTGTAAAAGGTACCAAGTCGGGGATGCTCTATCTTTTGGTCGTGTTACATAGCGGCTTCAGGTTTTGACCGGAAACTGACCGGAAGCCCATTTTTTAAGTGGAATTTACATGCTTTACTACAGATTCGGATTCTGCGGACAAAAATGCACAGCTTTTGTGGGCAACCATTTTCTGGAATGGACTTCCGGTCAGTTTAACCAACTTGCGGTCGAAACCCCTGACTTGGTGATTCATATTTTTTCGTTTTCTAATAGACACATTTTCGTCCATTTTAGCAGTCCAGGGCAAGTTGAAATCCGAAGGCCATTTAGTGGTTGAAAAAGGCACTTACGAGAAAATAGCTGCAAACAAAAGTTACGTATTTTTATCCTTAGAATCCGAATCTGTAGTTAAAACATGTAAATTAGACTGCATCACTCCCCATACAAAAAAAAAATCGGTACTATTTTTCCATTGGAATTATAAAATCTATTATATTTTAAGACGTCCACCAAAATATTTCGAAAAAATATTAAGATTTAAGTGAGCTGGACCAATTTAAAAATACCTCCATAAATGGAGTTTTTTATGAATAAAAATAGTTTCTTAAAAATTTTTTTTTGAAAAAATCCCCTCAAATGACAAAACGGTTTAAGCTTAGAAAATTTGCATAAAAATATTTTAATAAAATTAAAAAAAAAATTGAACGGAATCGTAATGATGAGATTTTTGATGCTGTTTTTTAACTTTCTTCAAACCTTGGTGTAAGAAAAACTTGAATAACTGAACCTAAACTCTTCCGATTTAGACTTGTGAGGCATCATTGGAAAGGTATTTTATCACCCTTGTTATTTCTTAGCTAATAAACTCATTCAAAGGAGGAAAGAGAAAGGTAGGATGAACGAACGTCATTCAAAGTTGAATTAAGATGTGTTGGTATTTGAAAAAAAAAAATTGGGAAACGAATGATTTTTTTTTAGACAGAAATAACAACAGTGTGAAAATACCTTTCTACTGAGATCCCATAAGTCTAAATCAGAATAGTTTTGGCCCAGTTATTCAAGTTTTTCGTAAATCAATCTTTGAAAAAAGTAAAAAAAAACAGCACCAAAAATCTCATTCTTACGACTCCGTTGAAAAGATTTTTAAATATTTATATGCAGATTTTTTAAGCTTAATCTGTTTTGTCATCTGAGGGGACTTTTTTCAAAAAGTTCTTTACGAAACTATTTTTATTCATAAAAAACTCCATATTTGGAGGTATTTTCAAATCGGTCCTGCTCACTTAAATCTTAATATTTTTCCCAAATATTTTGGTGAACGTCTTAGAATATAATAAATTTTGTAATCCCGGCGGAAAAACCGCAACTTTTTTTGGTGATGCAGTCTAATGTATATATATCTTAAAAAATGGACTTCCGGTGAGTTTAACCCACTTATGGTCGAAACCGAAAACATTTCAGTCCATTTTAGAGGAGAACGGGTGGTCTAGAACACCATGCTACAACTGTAGGATTTCTTAAGACAATCGGGCGTTTTAATTCAAAATGAAACCAACAACGAATTGCTTCTAATTAAAAATGAATTGGTTGCAATGGTCCGTAATTTGAATTAATTTAAAGAATGTTTAAGAAAGGAAAACCTTACAGGATTCGTAGAGGTTTGCTTATTTTTACATATACTCTGAAATCAGTTCTGTTTTTGTTACATCCGTTATGACCTCTTTCCATCGATTTTCCCCGACACCAGTGTTCCGCGGACACCCAATTTTTATGTCAACCAAAGGACGGTATAAAAGCTACACAACGGCAAATTTTTTTTTTTATAAGTGACATCCGTCTTCGTAAGATTTATTTATTTAACTATGAAGTATGTGTAGGTATGTCCTGATTATCGGCGCAACATAAAAAAAAAAAAATAATTAACACATCAACTGACATTATAGTTGCGATCCCGTACGAGTCCGAACTAGTCAGAATCAGCCAGATTTTACTGGAAATCGATCCCGTACTCGGTTCTCTGACTATTGAGAGGACAAAAAAGAGAGTAAATAAGGTTCTCTCTGTCAGAAGTTACCAGTTTTAGTCCGAAGATTTGTTGCTGGTAAATTCTGGCAAATGTGTCCAACGGTCAGATCGAATACGAATAAAAAGAAAAAAAAACTGCTACCAGAAAAATGTTCGAAAAATGGCAACTGACTACAACTCATCAATCTGTTGAAAAATATAAAAAAAGTGAAGAGAAGCTCTAATTTTTGTCTATGGAGACTTTTACTTCATAAGTACTTAACCCCAGTCAAAAGGATTTATCACACCAGTCACAATTTTGAATATTTTTATGAAGATTATATCAGCTTAATTTTTTAGAGAAGCGACAACGATTTAGTCTGTATCTACGATTTTGTACGCTTCAGCAGAGCTAGAAATTGGTTCCATTTCTAAGTTAAAAGGAGGGACGAGGAGTCTTTAATGTGGAATCACAATGGACTCATGGTGACATAAGTGTGCCCTTTTCCTGTGCGGGAAGCGGGTCGCCAAGATAACCAAATCTTACCTAAGAAGTGCACCAAAGAAGGCCAAAGTGGGTCTGTCAACCAATAAGGTCATGGCCATGGTTTTTTTTTTTTGGGATGCACGCGGTCGATTGCCATGAAAAGGGCGAGACGATCACTGACGAATATTATACAGATTTTGGACAGATGCGATATTGATTTGAAGCAAAAACGACCACATTTGGCCAAGTGCTGTTCTGCCGAGGCAATGCACGGATGCACACGTCTGTAGTCATCTTAGAAAAAATCCATCATTTGGGCTACAAGTCCCTACCTCATCCACCATATTCATCAGATTTAGCTGCCAGTTACTACTTATTTCCTGCTTCCAAAACCAAAGAAATGGCTGGGCGGTAAGTGATTCGGGTAACATGAAGTGGCCAAAACTGAAACGAACGCTTATTTTGAGGACCTTAAAAAACCTATTATTTGGGAGGGAGTGAAAAACTGGAAACCGCGTGACTAAATGTATCGAGCTAAAAAGAGACTAACAATATTGAGAAATGAAACCTTTTTTGGCAAAAAATATTGTCACTTATTCAAAATTCGCTGACTTTTCAAATTGCGCTCGTACATATCGAGCCCTAACCGACAAAATAACGTAAGTAATATTTTTTTCAAAAATTTCTTTTTGATGAAGATATGCATCTAGATGCTCTAGGAATGTTTCTGCATGAAAAAGAAAATTTAAAAAAACATGTCGCTTACGTTTTTTTGGCGGTTAGGGCTCGATATGTACACTAAAATTCAATGGGCCATAAAACTGAACTGTACAGTAAAAATTTCCTTAAGAATTCTAAATAAGAAGTTTGAAAATTGGCTGAAAATTTGCTATTTTCTAATTTTTGCAAAAGGTTTGAAAGGTGGATCAATATCGTGTTTGCTATATAATGAGAAATAATTTATTTTTTTAGTTGTTCAAATACATATTTGCACAATGCTGACATTAAATAGTTTCACATTTTTAAAATTACTTGTAATCGAATTATTCACTTTTTATTGTTATCATCTAACTAAACATTAAGTTCCTTTTTAACGCGGACACATAGCATGTTTACCGCCCATCGATGGGCAAAGTTGTGCCTGTTATAAAACTGGCGGTATCAGCAGCTAGAAAAATGATAGCATCGGCTACTTCTTTAGTGGAGCCAACGCGGCCCAGTGCATGCGTTTCCTTACAATGTTCCAAATATTTTTCATATTCCTCCTTCGACATGCCGGCGCGTATGGAAATATCTGTGACTATAACACCAGGATTAACCGCGTTCACGCGTACATTATGTGCTGCCAAGTCCAGAGCAATACATCTGGTAAAGTGATCAAGAGCTGCCTTAGAGGTACAGTAGCTGGAGACATCCGCAAATGAACGCAGACCAGCGACACTGGAAACATTGACAATATTTCCCTGAGTTTTGACCAGATGTGGGGCAGCGAATTTGGTCAAAAGGAATACCGAACGCAAGTTAGTATTTAAAATTTAGTCAAATTGGTCAACTTCAATGTTTAAAATATTGCCAGTTGCAAATATGCCGGCATTATTCACCAGCACATCCAGTTTTCCGAATTTCACCACAGTTTCGTTTATAATACGTTCGGCATCTGTCGTTACGTCAGCAAGGATAGGCAATATTTCGGCTTGGCTATTGACTGCTTTGCAGGCAGCTTCAGTACCTTTTAAGTTAGCTTCATTTCGTCCGACGATCGCAACCTTGGCGCCGTGCTGGGCAAAAGCTTCTGCAGTGGTAGCTCCAATACCTGAGCTTGCTCCCGTGACAATGACAACTTTTCCGGCTAGCGTCATTTCGATCTATTCTTTTTCGCTGCGAGAAATATACTAAAATGATTCCAACACATGAGCCCAACTAAAAATGTTTATAGATAAACATACATACAGATGCGTTCGACTAATTAGCAACGAAATTCAAAATGATGTTGTTTGCAAATTATGTTTATTTATTTATTTTTAATAATTTTCATTTAAAGTATAATTCAATCTATAACAGAAATCACAATAATACAAGTTTAAAAGCTTGCACAAATTGCAAAAAAATCCATCAAACTTCAAAAAATTGTCATCAAAATTTAAACAATTTTAATTAGG